CTCTAAGGAGATAATGTGGACTGCTGTGAATAAATGCTCAGCTAGACAGGGGTACTGCCAGCAGCTCCTCCCCATCTTCTGCCTCTTCTCACATCATCAATCTGTGACTGAAGCATTCTGGTTCTCATTCTCTCTTAACCACTTGCTCACAATGTTTGTGTGTTTGTTATTTCTTTCATACTCAATGTTTTTTAACCAGATAACTTAATGAACCAGATGTGCTTATATTACACCTGTCCACACCATTTACACATATGAACTGAAATTTTAGATAACCATCTCAGGTTTCAAAAATGAGGAATACTGGGGATAGGAGGTGGGGAGAAGGGCAGTGGCTATTAAACAACTGCAATCATGTAGGAACTCTGTGTGTACAGGCAGAGGAAGAGTGTGGAAGATAGTTTTTTGTAATCTGACAAATAAAGATTTTGTAAAGTGGATGTTAATTATGTGAGAAAAGGGCACTGAAGAAAATACATGAAAATGCAAAATATATGAGCTATCCAGTTGAAGTAAGACAGCAGAACTGGTACTGCTGGGCTGAGAGAGAAACATAAGCTGAAAGTAAACCAGTTTGGGCATAGTACCCTGCATTCAATTCTGGAAGAGGCAAGTTCTCCTAACCGTATTTTCCTATGAACTCTGAAAAATTGATTATGTTATCTTTTTATTAATTGTGATAAATTAGTGGCTCTCCTAGTTTCCTAGAAGAGCTAGGAAGTGCTGTTTTCTAATTCCAAAGTATACAACGTGTATGCAAGGAAGCAGTGAAACAGTTTATTACTGAAGTTAAGCCCTCAGTTTTGCAATCTGTATGCCCAGACACATCCTTCTTTCGTGTCAGAGGCATAGGAATTAAAACCTGCAAACTACATTCCTTGGAGACCCTGCACAATTTTCTGGATTTTGTTCTAGTTGAGGTCTTTTATTTGTGTCCTTTGGAAACATGAATTAGAAATACATTTGAGTAATTCACCAACTGACAAGCAGCTGTTTCTTCTGGATTTGACTTCTGCGTTTAAGTTGGTTTTAAATGGCTAAACCATAGTGAAAGTGTTAATTTTCCATGAGTTTTCCCTTGTTTAACTGTGATGCATAGAAAGGTTACATTCTATTTATGTATGGTAAGGTTTCAATTCAGACACGTTCTATGTCTTCCTCTGGCATGCCCTGCTTTGTAATTTTTAAAGAAATTGCTTCTTTCTGTTACTGTTAAGGGGATATATATAATAACTAGGAAAGTGCACGCTCCTGAGTGATCAAGTTTTCTGCAAACCAGGTGAAATGGGTCATGCTGGTGTGCAGTGTGGTTATCTTAAACACAAATGAAAAAGACTACAGTGTCTCTGCTTCTGCAGTGTGTGAACAACTCCTGTGCCTGTGCTCTGTTGGGTAGATTACCTTTTTTATTTAATAAATCTCTTAACACCTCTGTTATTTTTCTCAAGGCATTTGTCAGACACAAGACCAGTATCAGTTGATCTTTCTTACCGCAGTCGCAACAGCGGTCTGCAGGTTGTATGCTTTTTAAAGACAGCATGTCCTACTGCTCTCTGCCCCCTCTCCTTGCAGATGATTCACTGCTCCTGCTGTCCTCGGCAGAATTTCCATCCCCTCCTCTCTTACCGTTGAATAGACTGCTTGAACCTCTCCTTTTCCCACTAACATCTTCCTTGTCACTACCTGGGAGGGATTTTCTGTTTCCTTCTGTAAGTCTTTCCTCATCTATAGTGGACTTGATCCGTGGCTCATATAACCAAACCATAGACCGGTTTGTGTCAAAAGGAACCATAAAGCTCATCTCATTTGAACTCTGCAGCGTTGAGGTCAGACTGGAACTGTTCAAGACCAGATTGGGTGGGCCTTCGAGCAACCTGTTCTAGTGGAAGGTGCTCGTGGCAGAGGAGTTTGAATGAAACGAGCTTTTATGGTTCCTTCCAACACAAGCTATTCTATGAAAAGAGAAGATGCAGCAGCTCCAGCGGGTTCGGTTTAGGCTTCGCCAGAGGCGGGTATTGCGGCACTTTTGCCCAGTGCCCTACATGCCCTTCCAGTGAGCCACCGTGCTCGGAGCCGTTCCCCGCAGGTCGCAGCCCCGCGGCGGCTCCTCCTCAGCCGTCCCGCAGGGCGGGAAGCGTTGAAGAGCCCGAGGTTGGTAACTCGGTCCTCTTCTGTTTTGGAGACGTCGCTCCCGGCGGTGCCAAGCGGCCGCCCCGCTGCAGGCGGGAGGGGGGCTGCCCGGGGGCGGGCGGTCCCGGCCCCTCCGCTCAAATAGCCGCGGCCGCCGGCGCTCCCCGCAGCCCAGCCGGCACGGGCCGCCCCGCCATGGTGACGGCGGCGAGCGGGCGGCGCGGCTGCACCCCGCAACGGCGGGAACCCCGCGGCTCCCCCTGCCGCTGCCCGCGGCTCCCGGCACGGCGGCGGCGTCTGGGGACGGGGACGGCGGCGGCGGCGGTGGCGGAGAGCCCGCAGGAGCTGCAGGCTTTCCGCGACTACGGGGAGAGCTGGTACCGCTCCCGCAAGGGGCTGGAGAGCCGCTTCCAGCCGCGGGAGCCGCTTGCCCGGCAGCCGCAGGTGGGGGGCAGCGGGGACGATGAGAGGAGGCGGGCGGGCGTAGCGCGATACTGGCCCCGCCTGACCCGCTCCCGATGCCGCAGGTGACGGCGGAGGCGCGCTGCAAGCTGGTGAGCTGGCTCATCCCTGTGCACAGGCACTTCGGGCTCTCCTTCGAGGCGCTCTGCCTAACCGTCAACACCCTCGACCGCTTCCTCGCCACCACTCCCGTGGCAGCAGACTGCTTCCAGCTCCTGGGGGTGACGGCACTGCTCATCGCCTCCAAGCAGGTAGGTGGGGCTGCCCCGCCGCCGGAGTCTCTGCGACACTCCTCAGCCACCCAAAGCGGCTCCGGTGCCAGCCCTGGGCCTGACTCAATATCCTTTTCCCCCGCTCCTTCCTCCTGTCTCCCCTTTGCAGGTGGAGGTGCACCCCCCAAGCTTAAAGGAGCTTCTCGCCCTGTGCTGCGGCGCCTTCACCGTCCAGCAGCTCCGCAACCTGGAGTGCATCGTCCTGCTCCGCCTGGGCTTCGACCTGTCGGCGCCGACCATTAGCTTCTTCCTGGAGCACTTCAGCCAGGTGCGGCTGCAGGCGCAGGGCGCCGACGCGGTGGAGGCAGCGGACGCCCGGATCCTGGCGGGCGGCATCTCTGAGCTCAGCCTGGCGGACTACGCCTTCATCGGGTACGCCCCATCGCTGCTGGCCGCCGGCAGCCTGGGGCTGGCGGACCGGCTGCTGGGCCACCGCCGGCCCCTGGACCTGCGGGTCAGCGGCTACTCGGAGGAGCTGCTGCGGGACTGCATGGGGCAGCTTCAGCTCCTGGTGTCGCTGAACGGGCAGTCCCTGCCGCTCCTCCTGCCCCCGGAGGTGGTCCAGAAGTGCCCCTGGCTGCGGGGCGGCCGCTGACTCTCCGCACCGCCTGTCACTGGCACCTCCGGCCCCTGCACTGCCCGCCTCGGTTTTGGCTGAGCGGGCTCCGTGCTGCCTCGCCGTCAGTGCTTTGTAGAGGTGGTATAGTCTGATAAACTGATCGTTAGCGTTTGAGAGTCGGATCACGTTTTGCACATGATGTTACTATCCGTCAGTTGCACTTTCCCTTTGCTGTTTCTTAAACCCCAGTGTGTAAGTAACATGGATAACATTGTGTTGTCTATTTGGAGGATGGTCCATAAGGATAACTGCGGAAGGACCGAATAAACGCTGAATAAACTATTTTCTACTCGTGACCCATTCTCGTTTATTTGCTGGGAGAGCACACACACTGGCGCGGAACGACTTTGCCCAGCAGTTAGCTCCAGCTCCAGAAAACAGTGGTAACCGGTGGTGTCATTCACCATTTCAAACTGATTCTCGCTGGTTGTGTCATGGCTCGGGGAAAGAAAATAAATAAAGATAAAATAGATGCAGGGGTCTAAGAAACCAAAACGCCAAATAACAAAGGAACTGGTGACTGTTTTTGCAGCAAGTCTGTAGTCCACGTGCATGCTCCAAACACGCTGGCATTATAGCACGGGGAACATTAGAATCATAGAGCTGCACTTTCTCCGTTGCATTGCTGTGGCGCTGGAGCCGCACAGACACACCCGCGGCTGTCGCCAGAGCCGCGGGCAGCAGGAGCAGCACCGCCTGAGCTGCTGCGGGGGGGGGAAACACCTGAGCGCCCAGCGCGGGAGCCTCGGGTTTAGCCTCCTCCAGCCCCGTCCGTAATTTCAGCCGGGCTCGGCGTAACAGCGGTGCGGGACCCCCCAGGTGGGGACAATCCCCGGTGCGGGGCTCAGTAAAGTCCTGATGCCGCAGGACGGTTTGGGGTTTTCCTGTCCTCCCTCTACTCTTCCGCCGCTGATGGCCCCTGGCCCTGCCGCTTCACAAATGCCCTTACGAACACCCGCCCAGCCCCAGGCAGAAACCGGGGCGGGAGGGAACTGATGACACCGGGACCGGGGCGGAGTGTCCTCGGCAGCGGCGCAGGCATCATCTCCGGGACAGCCCCCTCCGCCCGCCCCGGCTCCGCGGGCGCGGGCGCGGGCTCCGCGGGCGCGGGAGCCGCCGGCGCGGTCCGGGGAGGGGGCGGGAGGTTTCCGCGCCCAGGCGGAGGGCAGCCGGGCGCGGGCAGCCTCCAGCAGGGACCCGGCCCCCCGCGCCCCTGCACGTGGGGCGGCGCCGAGCGGGGCGCGGGCAGGACGGCGTCCGCCGATGCCGGTGCCGGGGCTGGAGCCGGTGCCGGTGTCGCGGCGGCAGGATGGAGCAGGGCGGCCGCCGCCGGGCGTTCGGCAGCATCTGCCCCAACAGAGTCACGGGCCCGCCCGCCCGCCCCGCCAAGAAGTCGGCCCGGCCTGTCGGGGGTGCGGTGAGGGCCGCCCCGAGCCACCGAGCGCCCCCGTCCCTCCCTGGCCGCAGCGGCGCCCCGCCGGCCTCCGCCGCACCCGCCCTCGGTGAGTCTGTCCGCCATGGCAGCCCCGACCCCCCGCCAGTGTTCGCCGGCCCCCACCGTGCTCCCCACCCCTGCATCCTCCGGCCGGGCCCGTCGAGGTGCCCCCTGGCCGCTATTCCCACTTAGCCGCGCCGCCCTGGCTGTGTCCATCCATGCGCGGGCCCTTCACCGCTGTCTCTCACTGCCCCCAGCGCTCACCACCATCGACTGGCAGGATTTGGCAGCCTGTGACCCCATTCTTCCCACCACCCCGGCCGGCCCCGTGATCCTGCAGCAGGTAACCCCCAGCTGGGGCAGGCTTGGCAGCCCCCATCACAGGCACCCACGGAGTGGTCCTTTCAAGGTGATGGGTGCTGGCAACCCACCCAGCCTCAGGCTTCCCCACTGTGAGATGGGCACAGTGGAGGACAGCGTCTTGCCCCGCTCATTAGATGTGGAAGGGCAGGAGACAAACACCCAGGGGTACTGGGGCTGTGGGAAGGTGCTGAGCACAGGCACCAGCCTGTGTCTGAGTGCTACGGGCAGCAGTGGGCAGCACAGGAAGGTATGAGCCCTGGGACCTGCTCACTGGCATGTTAACTTCACCCCTTGCAGGGTCCCTACTTCCAGGATGGACCAGAGTTTGATTTCCAGGAGTTCAGAGATGCTATGGATGATTTTATATCTGGCAAGTAGATATTTTTCCTTAGCTGAGCCAAACGCACCTGCATGTGCACATCAACAGCCACACTGTGTTCTGTCTCTTTTGTTTGCTTTGATTTTGGGTTTTGGGTTCTCACTCACTCAGGATTCCCACCCCGTGGCACTCTAAGGCAGCATGCCTCAGTACACCCCGTTAAGGGAACCTGGGCTGGCACTGAGCTTTCCCACATGGGGGAAAGAATTTAAAGCCAAATTAAGAGATTGAATTTAGGTGCACAGCTGCCACAGCGGAGAAAAATCTTGTTGGGACATACCAGAATGTGTGTACTGCGGTCAAGGGGAAGAAGATGTGAATACCTGTCTTAACACCTGTGGCTGTTGCCTTCAGACGCATCCACCTTAGTGCCACCATCGCTGGACTGCACCGACTTTGATTTCTCACTTGGCGAGGAGGTGGCCTTTGACTGCTGCACCCCGCAGCTGGAGAGCAGCATGCTGGCACAGATGCCGCCGGCACAGATGCCCCTGCAACATCCACCTTCCCCGGAGCCATGCTGGAGGGACCTGGCAGACCAGAACCAGAAAGCACTGGGAGATGCCCTTGAGGCTAACAGCCAGGTAGGGACCCTCACGGTCCTGCGCTGGGCTGCTTCTCTCATCCTACTGAGGTGCAGCAGAGCCCTGGCCTCTGGGTGGTGCGGCTGTCCCAACCACCCTGTCTTCACCTGCCCTTCGCAGCTGCAGGAGACCCTCACGCAGAGGCAGGAAGAGCTGGTGACGCTGCAGGAGAGCAACGTGCAGCTGAAGGAGTTGGCAAGCCAGGCCAGGCAGCTGGCTGCCGTCCTCGATGTAAGTGCTGCCTGCACAACATCTGACCTAGCTGCCCAGCCCACAGCTGGACCCTGGGGACGCTGCGGTGGGGACAGGGTTCAGGTTGAGGCTGAGTGGCAAAGGGTGGGACAGGGCCACGGTGGCGGGATTGTGGGATGGGGTGTTGCAGTGGGGGTCTGTGTGGTGGGTTGGGATGGTGTGAAGCAGGGCAATGTGGACCTGCGTGGTGAGGGTGAGGCGCAGGATGGAGCAGGGCAGTGAAGGACAGTGTGGTACAGCTCGGAGCGGGGTGGTGCAGGATGGGGCGGTGCGGGATGGGGCTGTGTGGGGCGGGGCAGTGAGACGTGGGAAGGAGCAGTGGTGGACAGCGTAGTGCGGCTCGGGACAGGGCAGTGCGGGCCGGTGCAGGGCTGCGGTGAGGTGCAGCCCGCGGAAGTCGCGCTCTCTCCCCCGGCAGACGCTGATGCTTCCACAGTGCACCGACGGGGCGGCCCTTCTTCCACCTCCGCCTCTTCACCCTCCGCCTCCTCCCGTCGCCGCGTCCCGTGTGGGTGCCGGACGGGCGGGGCCGCGGGAGGAGGCTGCGGCGGTGGACGCCATGCTGCGGGCCGTGTCGGAGAAGTGCCGCGCCGCTCTGCGGACCCTCGGGGGCAGCCCGGGGAGCAGCCCCGGGGGCAGCCCCGAGGCCAAGCGCCCGCGGCCGGCTCCCCGCCTGCACGGCTCCTTCCGCGGGCTGCGCACCTCCCACGCCGCACCGCGTCCGGACTGCGGGGAGCTGGAGGGCGGCGGGGAGCTGCAGGGCGGTGGCAGCCTGCGGACGGCGCTGGGCGAGGCGGGCGGCATCCGCACCCTGGCCTTCCCGCAGGGCAGCGCCTTCACCTTCCGCACGGCCGCCGGCGGGTACCGCTTCCGCTGGGTGCCTCGCTGAGACGCACCCGAGCCCCGCCACTACGCACACGCGTGTCCGGGAGAGGAGGAGCGGGACTTGAAGCAGCGTCAGGCTGGCGGGGATCCTCCTCCATCCCCCGGCTCCTCTTTTTGTCCTTGAAAACGGGTATTTCTGTATTTCGGATTTCCCCCGTCGCTGGAGGCTGGAGATAAGGGAGAAGCGCGGCGGAGGCAACGCAGCGAGCTGGGGGCACTGCAGTGGTCGCCAGGCTTCACACAGAGCTCTTGTGGTTATAGAGTTGACAGCTTGCCCTCAGTAGTTTCATACAAGCATAGAACAGTTTTGGCTGGAAGGGACCTTAAAGCCCATCCAGTTTCAACCCCCTGCCATGGGCAGGAACACCTTCCACTAGACCAAGTTGCTCAAAGCCCCTTCCAACCTGGCCTTGAACACTGCCAGGGGTGGGGCAGCCACAGCTTCTCTTTTTACTAATGAATTTAATGAATGTAGAGATTAAATGAAACTCTGCATGGTGTTACCCAGAGATTTCACTCAGTTGAGCAGGAAAATGTAACTCAGAGGACAATGACTGCAGCTGGCGGGTGTGAAAACAGAGAAGTTTAGATCTTTCTCATGGAATTTCACATCCACAATGTTTACAGCTTGCACTTGTGTCGTTCATGTGTGCAGCCATAGGTGCATACTTGCACTCAGTATGATAATTAAACACTGCTTAGAACTGACATTTCTTTGTATTGATTTAATGTAAACACGGTGTTTTGCACCAGGCATGCGTATTTGCTTTCATTAGAGAAAAAAGAGCTCAGCAAGTTTTCTTGATGCGCTCAAGTAGAAAATGATAGAATAAAACATGGTGCTGTTAACATTCAGTGATACTGTCTCAAGTAAAGACTGATACACTTCACTTGGCACCTACTGGTCTGGGAGCTGAACCACGGGCAGCACACGCGAAATGGTACCTGAAGTTTATTTTTCTCTGGCACATAAGTGAGTGAGGGCACTGTGCTCCACCCATGACAGAGGTTTTCTCTCTGTGATCAGTTTTTCTGTTTTCCAATGCCCAGATTTTCCAATATTCCTGAACAGCTCCATGCATGTTATTGGGAATCCAACTGTAACAGGCTTGTGTGATGGTTCAGGTGACAGCACTATGCCATCATCTTGGTAGGGTTCTTAGGGTAGCTGCAGCCTTGCATGTAGAGTTGTGCTTTTGGCAGGCAGAGGCTGTATTAGAAAAGAAAACAGTCCTTGTTGCCAGCATGGTGTATAGTTATGTGGCTCCTAGAGACTGCAGAGGTGCTCCTTCACAGAATCACAGAGTATCTCAACTTGCAAGGGACCCATGAGGATCTTGGAATCCGACTCCCTGCTCCTCGCAGGATTTGTGATCCTTCTTACCTGTGGTCCTTTGTGTCTGCAGCACTGTCATTTTCTAGCAGGGGCTTCTTGCTGAAGCCTTGTCTGGGATGTCAGGGGCTCAGCCCTGGGGTGACTCTGGAGATGTGTGTATTTCAGAAGAAAACCATTGTCACCTTGGCCAAAATGCTTTATGAAAGCTCTGGTTCAGCAGCAGAGATGGGAGACAAAATCTGCCCAGCGGCAATGAATTCAGCAGGAAAGAAACAGAGAACATAAAGCACCTTGTATAGATATCTACAGTTCTCCTCCATGTGTTTTATGAAGCTAAACACAACACGTGCAGTGTGTCTAGCTTTGTAATACTCATAAGTGTATAAATTTCCCCAGAAACAAAGTGATACGTTAAAACTGGAGATTTTTACAGGATGCAACAAAAAAATAACTATCCTCATGGATTGTCACTAGTATTGTTCTTGCCTTTTCAGAATTACAAACATGTTTATCCACTTACCTTTGCAGTTAACCTGCTATAGGCTTGCCAGTGATTACTTTTACTCACAGCGTTTCTGTGTTAAAAGTATCCTTGATTAATTTTGGGTTGTGATCTAACAGTAACAGAAAATGAAAGTAGATGCCTTCTTAAAACTTCTTTTATTTTAATCCCCACTAATTGGAAAGGCTGAGAATTGGCTAATCAGACTGACACGCTTCTCACTGAAACTCACAAGAGCATCACCAGACACACAGACATGTAACACGTAGAAGTGTTTTATCTGTAACATAGTATATTCATAGTATTATTCTATAAACATAGTTACATAGCTCGCTAGGCCCTGGCAGATAAACCTCAGGTGTAAAGGGTGGGACCAGTTCTGCGCACGCTGTGCCTCACCTAAAAAATCCACTGCACAGGCCCGAAGGGTTTACCCACACTTGCAAAGCCCTGTAGCGACAGGCGAGGGACAAAACGGCAGGTGGTAAGGTGCACTGGAAGTCGCAGACCCAACCCTGCATGTCTACTCTTCTTTATGGGTCTGAATCATGGGTTATCTACTGCCATCACCTGTGACTCCTTGAATGCTTCCATCAGCGCTGCCTCTGCTTTTTGCAACCGGATTTGCCAATCCCACATTGGCCTTTTTAGTCATCAGTGCATTTGAAGTAAGTGTGGGTAAAGCCCTTCCCAAATCTTCGTTCACGAAGTCAAGCCATCATCATCATCACAAACATCTCCTTTAAGGTCTAAAGGTGTATTTTATTTTTAATTCACATTTACCTATCCACCTCCATACAGGACCTTAATGAAAAGTGGACAAATCTCTTACACAGATTAAAGCAGCCTAGCAGCTGCTTTCACCAACAGTAACTTAAAAGACTCCCAGTGCTTTGTCCTTCTGTCAGAGGAGTTGGTGGGATCACAGGGAACAAAGCTTGGCCCCTTCGTGCATGCTCATGCTTCACGGTTGTTCCCTCAGAAAGTGATCTCTGAAGAAGTCCACCTCTAGGAAATCTCATGTCCAAACTGATTTGGCTTTATGCTAGTGTCTCGGTCAGGATCTGTGCCACCAGGCAGGAGCCCCTGGATGTGCAGGTGTGATGGAATGAAGAGCATGCTGGTCTGTGATTGACATTCACTGTGTTTTTCTCTCCCTGGTGGTATGTTGTCCCTGCGATGGGTAAAGGGAGCTGGTCAAGCTCCTAATAGAAGTAAGACAAAGCAGATGCAATGACATTTCCTGAGCCTTGTTCCTTCTCATAAGTAACCTTCCTCTGCCTTTCCGTGTCCTGCTGCTGCTGGGCATTGGATAGGTGGCTGTGGATGTGTGGTGGTGTGGGACTGTGGACATGCGGGATGCTTGCAGTTGAAACAGGAAAATACCTTTTAATTTGGGGTGGGGTGCAGAGGGGAGCAGGCAAAGGGCTTAGTGTTCATGTTTGGAACATTAGCACCTTGATTTTACATAAGCCTTGTTCGGGGCATGTTGATTTTTCATTGGATAAAATCTTTAGGTGTTAATTAAAAAATGACACCAGACCTCAAGGTGCAGTTTGATTAAAAGAAATAATAGAATGAGGAACTACCTTTTAGTAAATAGTTGCATATTAAGTCAGTAATTTTAGGTCTCTTCAGGATGGGAAGGTCAAAAGGGACCTGCATAGAAGTATTTAGAAATAGCACAGGGCTTAAGTATAACAATAACATGTGAAAGCCTTTCTTATCGATGTTGCCAGTTTCCTGGTCTAAAGGCAATACCCAAGTCTGAGTGTCAGCGTGGCCGTTTTCCTGAGTTTCCAAGGTTGTTCAATGTGTCATTAAGAGCAAACACTGTGTGTTCGTGTTGTGATCACTTTTGGTAAAGTCTTTGGATTTCTTGTGTGGGTAATACGGTTACAATTAGAAGCCACTTGTTAAAACAGGGTAGCTGGAAATTTTAAGGATTATTCTCCTTCTCACCCAGAAAAGTGTTGTTGCAATGGCCTGAGGCTGTGATTCAGACATCCACAGAAGATGGTTACGTTTTGTGCTCTGCTCTGTTCTACGGTACATGTCTCAGGATTTCAGGCAGTGACGCTTGAATCTCACATTTCTATCTGTGCAAAGCTCACCTCAGCTGATGCTTTACAGTTTCAAATAGCTTTAGCACATGTACCAGGGATCATCCTGAGTCCCTTTGGGTGGGCTGCTCTGGCTTTCAGAGGGGCACCAATAGCATATTGACTTAGCAGGATTTCCCAAAATTGCTGGGAAATCTCAACTCTGATTGATGACTTTTGCAGGCACTTAATGCAAATAAATACTAACAATTCTAATATCTCTTCTATGTCCTTGAACTATAGAAATGTCCTCTCTTTTAAGCCTTTCTGTAGTGATGTGTACAGCTTATTCAGTACCTTAAAAAGCAGCCCCTTTTTTTTAGCACTGTGATGTGAACAATTAATAGTTTCTGCTTGGGGATTTGTGGCAACAGCTGAATTGTCCCAGACATCAGGTGAGCTCCCATTTATGGTAGCGCTGAGGGAGTGCAGCCAGAGACCTGCTGGAGACACTTTTCTCCTCTAGACTAATGGGATTGACATTTTTCTAAGCTGTGCTGCAATAGCACACAGAGGACAGAGTACCCTGCATGTGCATATAGTAAAAGATAGTCCGTAGACTCCTTGATTCCAAAAGGATAGGCATGATACAAAAGGAAGCATCCTATACCCTGGTTGCAGTTGGGAAGCTGAAGCACAGAGGTGTAGCATATTTTGGCATAGGCCACTGCACATGCCTGTGACAGAAAAAGAGACAGGAGCGTGACAACCTGTGACCAGCTCAGGTTGTTCATAATTGTGTATTGTCTCTTCTCTCTGCCCCAAACTCATCCTGCCTCTTGGAGGACTATAACTAGCTGATATTGGAGCTATGGGTAAGGAAAGGGATGTGTGGAAGGAAGAATGTTGCAAGCCAAACTGTAGGTTTGGAAGCAAGTTTCTTTTGTTGAAAAGGGTTTAGGAATTGGTCAGGAGCTGCACATTAAATGTGTTAATTCAAGCCACTGAACTCTTTCAGAATAAAGGCATTTATGTCCATGATTATGTTCAGATCTCTATTGAAAAATAAAGTTATTTATAATGAATCCTTTGCAGTTTTTTGCTTTTTAAATTTCTGTTGTGCTATATTCCAGATTGGTTAGCAGTGACCTCTGGGTTCATACTACTGTGTATAATAAAACAATAAATATAAAGTTTTTAAAGGAATAATTTTCTGAATGAAAGATGCCAGAGAGGTGACTTAATACTATAATAATAATTTTAAAAAAAGAAATCACTATGTATTTAATTGAATCAGAATGACAGATACCTTGTAGGAAAGGTTTTCCCTTTTTTTCTGGGCTTTCAGTCCCTTTGTGCTTGTGGTTAGTCTCAGGCAGCCTACTCTGCCTGCTTTTCGGTCATCTCACCATGTTGTGTTCTCACACCATGGAGCAGAACAGACGCAGAACTGGTGGTGTGG